TCATATGGATGCACCAGCCCCAAACTTCCTCTCATCCTCGTTCCCAAGTCCCGAAGTCTCCCAGGAAACCACGGCTGGGCCTTCCCTCATGGCCCCTCCAGCAGCCCCCCATCGCCCCAGTTTGTGGTGGCTACTGGTGTGTTACCCAATCCGAGGAGAACTCGCCGTGTTCCTACCCGGCAGCAGCCCAGGATGTTGAGGGAGAAGACGTGAGGGTTCACAGCGATGTAGTCGCCGTAGAATTCCTGGTGGAGGAAGCAGGACAGTGCCTGTGAGCCTGGACCCTCCCTTTTGCTTTTGGATCTACCTAAAACATCCAAACTTCACCTGGACTTCAGCCACGACCTCCTGCTCGTCGGCCTCGGCCAAGGCCTTCACGTCGCTCTTGCTGATGACGTTGCTGAAATCTGGGAGGAAACGGAGGAGGGATGGTTGGGAAACGGGACAGCACGGCTGGATCCCCTCCAGAGCGGGAGCAAATCCTCCAGAGACCCTCTGGCCCTGGCCCTGCAGGTGCTGGAATCCTGAGCCACCTGCCAGGGATGCTCGGAGCTCATCCCCTGCCCGGCCCTGCCGCGTCCCGCGGAGCCACGATGACATCTAGAGGCCACTTCACCCAATTCCCAGGATCCCACCAAGAGATTCCAGGGCTGGAGGACTGGACTTCAACCCAAAACCAGCTGGAGTCATGCTACTTCATTCCCAAAACCACAGAACATGCCGTGGCATTGAGCAGGACACGTGGGAAGCACCTGCCTGATACACCCAGCATGGGAAGGTGCTGTGTGACCCACACTGGGATGTGGAGCCTGTGCCACCCACACTGGGAGGTGGAGCCTGACCCAGACTCAGGACCCTCAGGACCCCCGGATGGTTTGTACTCACAGATGAAGTAGACGCTGTACTTGGGCCTCCGCAGCTCCTGCACCAGGAGCTCCACGTTCTCCTGGACGGAAACAGCAGCGAGGAGAGCAGAGTTAAGGGATGTGGAATCACGGAAGTGTTAAGGTTGGAAAAGCCTCTGGGGTCCTGCAGTTCGGCAGCCCCACAGCACTGCCAAGGCCACCACTGACCCGTGTCCCCAAGTGCCACATCCACACATTCTTAAACACCTCCAGGGATGGGGAGGACTCCACCACTGCCCTGAGCAGCCTGTGCCAGGGCTGGACAGCCCTTTCCATGAAGGAATCTTCCCCAGTATCCAACCTAAGCCTTACCCCCCTTCCCCAGCACAATTCCAGGCCGTTTCCTCTTGTTCCCTGGGAGAAGAGCCCGACCCCCCCCCGGTGAGTGCGGGTGCCCCCGGGCGGGGCCGGTACCTTGGTGGGCCGCACGAAGCAGATGGCCTTGAGGTGCTTCATGGGCTCCCTGTTGGGCGAGTCGAGGCGCTCGAAGAGGTAAACCTCGCGCTGCAGGATCTCGGACTGGGTGTACACCACGCTCACGGCGCCGGTCTGGGGGCGGCACGGGGGGGGACACAGCGCCCGTCAGCGCGACCCCCGGCCCGGCGCTCCGGGCCCCGCCGCACCCCCCACCCCGCCTTCCGGGCCCGCCGCTCACCGTCTCGCGGTCCATCAGCAGCACCTTCATGCCGGGGCCGCTGTCCTCGATCATCTTGGACACGTACTGCCGGACCGCCAGCACCGCGTTCATCTTGGCGGGGCCTCCGGGCTATCCCGGGCTATCCCCCCGGGCCCGCTTCGGCTGCCTTCGGCTCCGCCCGGCCCCGCTTCGGCTCCGCCCGGCCCCGCTTCGGCTCTTCCCGGCCCCGCTTCGGCCCCCCCGCCCCGCTGCCTCCTGGGAGTTGTAGTCCGGCAGAGGGGGGGGTCCCCGCCCGCAGCCCCCACAGGCCCCGCCGCCCCTCAGGGCGGTCCCGCAGCCCCGGCCCAGCTCCCTCGCCCGTCCCAGGGCCCGAGTGCACCCGGGCGGTGGAAATGGCCCGGGAAGGTGAGGCAGCTTGAGACTGAGCCCACCCAAACTCACCCCAGACCCACCTAAACCCACCCAAACCCACCCCAAATTCACCCAACCCTCCCCTAAACCTACCCCACCTAAACCAACCCCAACTCACTCAGTCCGACCCCAAATCCACCCCTAATCCACCCAAACCCACCCCAAACTCCCCCGAGCGATCCCCAAATCCACCCAAACTCACTCCAGCGCACCCCAAACACCCCCAGACCCGCCCTATCTCTCCCCAAGCCCACCCCAAGCCCCCAGGAGCACTCAGCGCACCCCAGGAGGGTCCCCTGGGGTCCCCAAGAACAAGGACTGGACTCAGGTTTGCTGAACATGAGGCAAAGCTGCTCGGAGGGCCCGGGGGGTGGCCAGGGGTGAGCGATGCTGGGGCTCCAGGACCAGCCTGGTCCCGTTAATCCCTGGAGCAGGGCAGTGGGATTAGTGCTATTCCCGGTGGGACAGAGCTGACCCGGGGCCGGACACTCCCCCGCTGCCAGGGCCCTATTTATAGCGGGGGGATAACGATTAATTAATGATTACGCCCTGCCTTTCACTTCCAATTAAGCAGCTCCCCTTTTCCTCGACGCCTTCGTCATCTTTAATCCTTCCATTTCCTGCCCAGATCCCGTTTTGCTTTTCATTTCCCAACACTTTGGGGTCTCCTGCAACCCCCAGAGGTTTGGGTGGTTTAAATAAGCATTTAGCTAAAAAAAAAAAAAAAATTCAATTCCAGCATTTTATTTCTTATATTTTTTTATTTTGCACCTGACTTGGTTTCCTATATCCAAACTGACTTCTTGTGGAATGTGTGGGTGCTCCCAGCCACACAACAGACATCCCAGACAATAATGGCAAATGGAATAAACCACTGGGTTGGTTTTTTTTTTAAATTTAATTGCACCCAATTGTTTTCTGGCCTTGTTTGGATGTTGAATGATGCAGTGCCTGTAAAGTGCCTGTTTAGTTACTGTCCAGTTTCCCTGGAAATGCTTTTGGATGAGGTCAGTGAGGGTTTTATTTGTGAACTAGCCAAACCCAGGGTGTCTTCTCCTCCTCAAATCCATCTTTGTCCTCGTCCTTAGGGAAGACAAACCCCTTCCTGTGCCATTTCGAGGAAACGAATCACCAACCAAAACTCTGAGGCTTCTTGGTGGGACGTTTATCCCCGGTTTGCAGGTAAAACATGTAAAACAACTTTTATCCTGAGGAAATTTTACACTTGTAACCTCCCCTGCGACTGCCCTGGGCCCGTCACCGTCGCAGCAGCTCCGGGACGGACGTGGGTCCCTAAGTTGGGGCAATAGGATTGTCTGGGATTACAGCACTGCTATTTCAAGGGACCGGACTCCACCACGGTTATTCAAAAAGCAGCTGATTGCCCACTCCTGGTTCCAGGGGGGAATGGCCACGGCAGCCTGTGCTTCCCAGGGCATCCCCCAGAGCCACCCGAGGGGCTTGGGAACATCCCTGTTCTCCCACTTGGACACCACTCGTGTCCCAGGAGCTCTCCTGGGAAAAAGTGCTCCATGGAAAGGGGCTCCTGGCAGCAAAATAAGGCCTGGATGGGTCTTCAGCTCTGGAGATGAGGAGTCACGAGGGTCTCCAGCTCACCTCGTTATTGTTTTATAACCTGATTGTGTTAACAGTGAGAGGGGGAGAAACACACCCCCCCCCCTAAAATAAACACGGGAAGGCCCGTTTGGATCCAGAACCTCATCCTTTTGGAAGCAGCACCCCTGGGCAGCAGGGCCATGGGCGTGCTGGGGACAAACCCTGCAGCCCTCGGGGACAAACCCTGGACAAACCCCACAGCCCTCGGGGACAAACCCCACAGCACATCCCGTCCCTTCTGTGCTGGACAATTCCTGCCCGGCCGCACAAGCCAGCCCTTTGTGCGGGGCACAAACAAGGGCAGCTCCCGGCAGGACACAAAGGCGGGATTGAGCTCCGGGATCAGCTGAGCCCTGCGCATGACGGGCCCCGCTGGCCGCGGGGGCTCTCCCACCTGGGCTGTTCCCGAGGGAGAGGAACCAGGGGGCAGATGCGCCAGCCGTGGCTCCGTGGGGGCTGTGCCAGCAGGATTCCCAGCGCCAGGGCCCTCGGGATCGGCACGGGGGCACTGCCCGCTGCTTCCGTGGGCACCCACGGCACGGGAATGCCAGGCCCTGGGCATAGGGAATTCCAGGCAGTCTGCACAAGGAATTCCAGGCCCTCGGCACAGGGAATTCCAGGCCATTGGCACAGGGAATGCCGGGCCCTTGGCATAGGGAATTGCAGGCCCTTGGCACAGGGAATTCCAGGCCATTGGCACAGGGAATGCCGGGCCCTCAACACAGGGAATGCCGGGCCCTCAACACAGGGAATGCCGGGCCCTCAACACAGGGAATGCCGGGCCCTCAACACAGGGAATGCCGGGCCCTTGGCACAGGGAATTCCAGGAAGTCTGCACAGGGAATTCCAAGCCCTTGGCACAGGGAATTCCAGGCCCTCAGTATAGGGAATGCCAGGCCCTGGGCAGAGGGAATGCCAGGCTCTTGGCACAGGGAATTGCCAGGCCCTGGGCACAGGGAATGCCGGGCACCCAGCCGGGGGACGCGCTGTTCGTGGGGAAAGGGGGGTGGCAGTGCCTTTCCATGGCAGGGAAAGCCATTCCCTGTGGGAATAAGGCCCAGGGGAGCGGGTGCCGGCCCCTCGGCCTCAGGGGTCAGGGGCTCAGCCCACCCTGGGGGTCCTGGCCCCACACAAGCCCCAGACAGAGGGGAGGGGAGGGCACGGGTGGCACCCGGGGGGGTCTCGGGCCCCACTCGGGGGGTCCCTGGGGGGGTCCCGGCCCCCCACCCCGCCGCCAGGGGGCGCCCTTGCCCTGCCCCACCCCGCGCAGGCGCGGTGCCGCGGCGGGGGTGGGCGTGGCCGGGACTGGGCGCTGCGCCGCCATTGGCCCGGCGGCGGCGGCGGCCGCGTGCGGCGGCCAAAGCGTTCCGGGCGGGAACGGGGGCGGCGGCGCGTTCCGGGCGGCGCGTTCCGTTCCTCCCCCGCCCGCCCCCGCCCCGGGAGCGGCCTCGGCGGCGGCGGCGGCGGCGGCGGAGGGCCCGGGGCCGCTCCGCTGCGGGCCGGGCCGCCCATGGAGCCGCGCGCAGGTAACGGCGGGGCCGGCGCCGCGTCCGGAAAGTTTTGTCGGGGCCGGGCCTTGGGGTGCGGTGCTGGGGGGGGGCGGCGGCGCCCGCGGGGTCGCGGTGCGGCCTCGGGGCCGGGCCCGGGGCTCGGGTGGCGCGGGGGTCGGTACCGGAGTGCGGGGTCGGCCCGGGCGGAGCCCCCCCCCCAACCGCCCAGGGCCGCCCCGGGGCCGCCCCCCGCCCGCTCCCGGTGCGGAGCCCCCCGGGCCTTCACCCCCCGCTCTCGGGGCTCCACCGGGGAGCGGCGACCCCGAGTCCCCTCCCCGGGGCCGGGCGGTGACGTTGCCCCGGGCCCGGCGATTTGCGGCCAAATCGTCGCTTGTTTCCCGGTGCCGCCGGGATCTCCCGGGCCGGGCCGGGGGGTCGCGGGGGGGCCCTTCCCGAGCGCTGGAGATCCCGGAGCGGCCGCCGGGGCCGCCTCGGCAGCGGGACGCGAGCTCGGGGAGCAGCCCGGAGTTTGCCGGTCCCGATCCAGAGGAATCCCGGGAGCTCCGCGTTGTCCCCGCGGGCTCGGGGCGGCCGCCGCTCCGGGGAAACTGCTCCGGGAGTCGCCCCCGGGAGCTGCCGAGGGGCTGAGACCCTCGCGTGAGTGTCCGAATCCCGCCGGGATGGAGGGCGGCAGGGGGACGGGAAGAGGAGCCGTGCGCCCGAGTTACTCGAAATCCGCGGCTCCGCTCTCCCCGGCGCTTTAATTTCGGCCGGTTCGGTTTCGTGCCGGAGCGTTTGGGGTCAGTCTGTGCCGCTCGGTGCCGGTTCTGCTCTCGGGGAGATGCTCCCGCCCTCAACAGGTGCCTCGGCTCCCACAGCCCAGAGTTACACCCCAACCCCGTCCCTGGAAGGGACTGAAAAGTGGATTTTCCCGGCGGGAAGAGCCCTGGATTGGAAGGCTCCGGGGAGGAAACCCGGAGTGGGGGATGAGGCTGCCGTGGCCTCGATTGCGGAGGGGCCGCTCGGAGCACCCCCTGGGACAGCGGGAAGGACGGAGCGTGCCGGGCCTGGTGCTCCTGGAGATGCAGGGATGGGCTGGAAATAGCCACGGCCTGGTTCGAGGAGGAGCTGGCTCCGAGGGAATTTCCCTGGTGCGGCTGCGGAGAGGACCAGGTTTATTGTCTGTGCTCCAGAGCGGGTCCTTAGAGAATCCCTGGCATTCTTGGGAGCAGAGGGATTGCTAACTAGGAGCGATGGTGATGATGGGGCAGAGCCTGGATTTGGCAAAGCTGCTGCGTTTGTGTTGGAGACTTTTTCAGCTTTCCTCCATCTCATCCCAGCGGGTTCCTCAGCCCCGAGCTCGGGCTGGTCTGGGTGCTGGGAGGAGCCCAGCTGTGTCTGGAGCAGCAGGAAGCTGTTGGAGCTCTGGAAAACAGGATAAAGCCGTTATTTGAAGCACTGAAGCTTTATACAAACGGGATGACTTCTGTGACTTGCTCAGCCCACCCTGGCTCCCAAAGCACCAGTGTGGTTTTAGGAACCCTTTTTCCCAGCTAGGAGAGCTCTGCTTTGCGGGGATCATGTGCTGTCCTTTTGCCAGAGCTCTGCCAGAGGCTCCCAAGGCTGCAGTTCCTGGGGTGGGGAATCTCCCTGGAGAGCTGCTCGTACCTCGAGGTGCGACCACGGTGCCGCATCCGGCCCGGCCGCAGCTGCCTGTCCCATCTGTGCCCCAAATATCCCCGTTGTTTTCCCTCTCAGACCTCCTCCTGCACCCAGAGCACCCTCCCTTCGTGCTGAGGGAGCTGGGGAGCTCGTGGGGTGCTCCTGCCCCATCGGTTTTGTCGGGAATGAGTGGGGTTTGGGCTTTGCTGGTGGAGTTTCTGTACTGATGGTGACGGTGGTGACGATGAGCTGGGTTGATTCCCACCCTGGGTGAGGTGGGAGCTGCGTGGCCCGTGCCCCTGCAGCCCCTGTGGGAGCTTAGTGAGCACGGCACAGGTGTCAGGTCAGGTCGGGGTCAGCGCGGTCCCCGCTAATCCCGGCGCGGCTGTTCCGGCGGCGTTAGGTAACCTGCCGGGATGTGGGATGGGGTGGAGGCAGCTCCCACCGTCCTGGGGAGCAGGGGGAACCTCCTCCAGGACCTTCAGGACCTGCTTCCTTGGAGCTGAGCCACGGGAGAAGCTCGTTTTCCTCATCCCCGCTCCTTTAGGGCTCAGGTTGGGGCTGCTCCTCTGTCCCACCTGGGGGTCCTTCTGTGGGCCTTTCCTGGAACCAGGGGTGCTGCAGGTGCCCCCAGTGCCCCCCTCCTTAGCCCTGAGCACTGCCAAATTCCAGGGGTTTGGGGGATTTGGGTTTAGGGCTTCCATACATGTCCACTGGCCACTCTGCTCCTGCAGCTTCCCAGTGATGGGAGCGAAAACATCAGGGTGGGTCAAACCTCCCGTGGATTTTGGGCAGCTCCTGCCTCACCTGCAGGGTCCCCGGGGTCTCTGGGGGTCCCTGTCCCCCGTGGGGCCAGGGTGTGGCAGAGGGGCCGGGCAGGGAGCAGAGCCCTGGGAGTGGAGTCCTGGCTCCCGACTCGGTTCCTGCAAAACATCACGTGGCAGATCCGGGGGAGAGACGTCAGACTTTGCTGCTCCTAAAATATTTCTGGAAGTACCTCTGTAAACACCCCGGTCGTGGCTGACCTGGGCTTGGGATTTGGCCCTTACAAAGGCCTTTATTTTCTGTTCCTGCAGCAGATGTTCAGCACGATGGAAATCTGGCAAAATAAGGGAGCTAAAGCCCCGTAAATCCCGATCCTGGAACTTCCCATGGATCCGGTCCTGCTGCTCCACAGTTGGTTCTGGTGGAATGCTCCAGCTCAATGTTTTCAGTGGTTTGTTTCCCCCCACGATGGAGCTGAGGGACACTGAGCTCTTGGACCTTGTGTGCTCTGGAACTCCTCCCTCAGCCTCCCAACTCCCCTGATGGTGTCTGGGCAGGGAGTGAGGTCCTACCCTGGGATGCTCTGGGATGCTCCTGCCGAGTCCCTTCCCAAACCTGGCACTTTGGAGCTGCTCTGGAAGAGGCCGTGAGGGGAGTGAGTGGCAGCTCTGAGGGGTTTTATGACTTTCCCCTTGTTTTAGGTGGATGTTCAGTGTTAAAGGTCTGAATTCCTGTCGGGAATTCCTGGTGTGTCCTGCAGAGAATCACCGGGATGGTGGGAGCAACTGGCTTTACTCCGAAATGCACATTTCTCTGTTTGGAATGTGCCAGGAGTGCTCACTCTGGATTAGATCCATCCCAGGGACTTTGGGGTCTGCTGTTCCGTCGCTGGGGGGTGGATTTGGAGTTGTGCCTCTCCCAGGGCTTGGATTTCCCATCTGGGCTTTGTATTTCCCACCTGTTCCAAAGGACAGAGCACTTCCCTCCCACAGGGGCAGGGAACGATCACTGGCACTGGGGTGGGGCCGTTTCTGTAGCGATCCCTGATAAATCCCCCACAGTCCATCCTTGTCAGGCCCGGAGTTTTCCGTCTGTGTTTCCCCCGGCGTTCTTGCGTGCGCGGGAGTTTGGAATGCCGTGGATGGGGCAGGAGGGGGGGTTGTTCAGGCTGTGTTGTTCCCTCCCCAAAGCTCCCCCTGAGTTTCCATTTTCCCTTGGGATTCCGAACCCCACCCGCGGGAAGCTTGACCCGTTATCGCAGCCGTCCCGTCCCGGAGCCGCTCGCTGCTCCTGCAGGGATTGTGGGATCCAAGCGTGCGGCTCCCAGTTAAGGATGCTCCCTAAACTGGTGGGGCTGGAATTGGAATCACTGCCAAATCCCGCTCCCGTTGCTCGGCTCCAGGAGCGGCTCTGCAGGAAAACACGGAGGAGTTTTTTCCTGGGGGCAGGAAGTTAATGGTGACACCACCCTGAGAGAGGGGGAATGGTGTTTCCCCAGCAAAGCCAGGGAATTCCGGGTTAAAGCCTGGATGTTTAACGGAGCTGGGTGCCCTTAGGGAATTTTGCACATCTTCAGGGATAATCTCGGAAAGAGACACTGGGGGTGTTTTACCCATCCTGAAAAGAGACATTTTCAAGGCTCCAGGGAATTTTGTTCATCTGTAGGGATAATCCTGTAAAAGAGATTGTTGTTTTCCCTGGGAAACAACGGCATTTGTTCGTATTCCACGTAATCCTGAAATGTCCTCTTTTACTCCCAATACACCAGCACCTCCCTCTCCCAGCCTTCCCAATCCTTTTTTCCCCTCTTCTTCCACATTTTTGGTTTGGGGCGAATTCTTCTCCCAGTGGTTTCTATTCCTCGATGGCAAGATTTTTATCCCAGCCTTTAACTGCAAGGCCCCAAATCCAGCGGAACACTTTGCCCATCTCCCTTTCTCTTTCCCCCTTCTGCCCCGAGGAATGCGGAAATTCAGGATTTGGGGGCATGGCAGGAGCACACACCTTCCCCAGGCTCAGAAACTGCCAAAATCCAGACTTACAGAATAGATCTTTGGTTTTGCTCCCTTCTGGGAAGGAGCTGTGGATTGGGAAGGAGCCTGGGAAGGAGCTGTGGACTGGGGAGGAGCTCTGGGTTGGGAAGGAGCTCTGTCTGGACCTTTATTTTCCCTGCAAGAGCAGTTGGGGTGTTTTTATTTTTTTGGTTTGGGTTTCGTTTTTTTTCTTTTTGCCTTTTGGAAGGGGATTTCTAAAATTTCCTTAGGACAGGCACATCTCCTACTTCCAGCCTTTTGGCCTTGCTTCCCTTCCCTGGCACGCAGTTCGGAGCGGGATGGGGCAGGGATTTACTCCCTGTAAACGCCCGAGAGGAACTTCCTGCCTTCTCACCGCTCCCAAACATTCACTTCTTATGTCATTCACTCCCAGCTCCTCATGCCTAATGCGGGAAGAAGAGCTCCACCACCTTTGGGATGAGAATTGGGTTTAGCTCCTGAGTTTTCCGAGGAAATGCCCGTTGCTGGCGGAGCTGTTAGAGCGAAGTGGGCGTCGTTCTCCCACTTCCCCGGGAACGAAGGGGCAGTCCCGGAGCACAGTTAACTCCAGGGGGGAGGTTCACGGCCTGGCTCCTTGTTTTATCCTCCACCACGCCATCCATGTGCGCTGTCGGTGTCGTTGCCAGGTTGATGCCGAGGAGCCGATCGGGCGCCGCCGACCCCGTCCGTGCGCGGCTCCATGAGCCACGGCCTCGGCTATGGACATCGTCCTGTCCGATTTTGTTCGCTCAACAGGGGCAGAGCCGGGGCTGGCCAGAGACCTCCTCGAAGGTAGGAAAACTGGGGGTAACTGGGCAAGAGCCAGGGGCGGCTGAGGGGGAGCCGGGAGGCAGAAAGGGCTTGGGAAGAGGGCCCGGAGCTGGGGGCTGGAGCTGCGGGGCTGGGAGAGGAAAATCCTGCCCTGGGCATGTGGCTGCCTTGGCTTCTCCTTGCACATCCCTGGGGTGATGGATTGCGAGCATTGGGAAGGAAAGGGCAGCAAGCAGGAGGGTGGATTCCCTTCCTCCATCCGCCGCCAGCAGCACAACTCAAGGGGTTTTTTGTCCTTCTGTCAGCAGTGCCTTAAAAAAATTAAGGATTTTCTCCTTTCTATCAATGGCATCTTAAAAAAATGAAGGGTTTTTTTTTTTCTTTTTTAGCAGCAGTGCCTTCAAAAGCTTTAGGGTTATGGCTCTTTCCAGTGGCGCTGCCTCCTGAATGGGAGATTTCCATCCAGATCCCCCCCTCCAGATTCCCGCTTGCTGCAGGAGTTGATTTATTTTGACAGCGGCACTTCCAGCTCGTTTTGGTGACGCTGCTGTTCCTCCGGCAGCCTTGGAGGAGCTGACAGCTGCAGGGGGTGGGAATGAGGGGAAACACAAGGATTTTCCTTTTTTGGGTGGTACTAGTGAAGCAGTCGGATAAATGGATGCATAAAGTGAAGTTTGAGGGCGAGGTGAGCGATTCAAGTCATGCTTTCCTGCGTGCTTTAAGCTTCCTCTGTGTCTGGTGGCAGGGACAGGTCTGGAGGATCGTGGAACCATGGAGTGGGTTGGCTTGGGAGGCACCATGGCAGGGACACCCTGCACAAGACCAGGTTGCCCCAAGCCTGGAACACCTCCAGGGATGGGCCATCCACGGCTTCCCTGGGCGGGGACCTCCCCAGCGCCGCGCTCGGTTCCCAGCGGGACGTTTGGGGCCCGCCTGGCTTTCTGTGCCCTCAACCCCCGGTCCAATCCCTTCCCCTGCAGGCAAGAACTGGGACCTGAGCGCGGCGCTGAGCGACTTCGAGCAGCTGCGGCAGGTGCACGCCGGGAACCTCCCGCCCTCCTTCAACGAGGGCCGCGGTGCCCGCACCCCGGAGCCGCGGGAGGCGGCACGGCCGGGCCGGCCGCCCCTGCAGCGCCAGGATGACCTCGTGCAAGGTCAGTGTCCTGCAGCCAGGGGGTCCCCCATCTGACCTCCCTCCTCCTCCTGGCGCCAACCCCGCCGGGTTTGCCGCTCCGGCCCCGCTCAGGGTGCATTTCGCCTTTTCATCCCCCAGAGAAGCGCCTGTCCCGAGGCATCTCCCACGCCAGCTCCACCATCGTGTCCCTGGCGCGCTCCCACGTCTCCAGCAACGGCGGCGGCGGCGGCGAGCACCTGCTGGAGATGCCCATCTGCACCTTCCAGCTGCCCGACCTCACCGTGTACTCCGAGGAGTTCCGCAGCTTCATCGAGCGCGACCTCATCGAGCAGTCCATGCTGGTGGCGCTGGAGCAGGCTGGTGAGTGCTGGTTCCATACTGGTGGCGCTGGAGCAGGCTGGTGAGTGCTGGTTCCGTGCTGGTGGCACTGGAGCAGGCTGGTGAGTGCTGGCTCCGTGCTAGTGGCACGTGCTGCAGAGGGCTCAACAGTGGGACCCTTGGGAACACCCCAGGATGTTACACGGATGCACATCCAACAGGGAGCCGGTCATTCCATCCTTTTTATGACCTGGTGCAAGGGCCGAGGAGGAGCTGCTTCCTTCGCCCAGGGACACCGAGTGTGCATAGCCCAGGGCTGCTGTCACCACGCGCAGATGAGTGGGGGCACCCAAAATCTGGCATTGCCTCGCTCCTGGAGCGTTCCAGTGCCATGCTGCAGCCAGCCAGCCCCTTGGAGAGACAGGGAAAAGGGAATTCCTGCGTAACACAGACAGCAGCTGATGCTGCTGCCCCATCCGGGATTGATTTTGGACACAAGGTCGATGCTGCTGCTCCAGCACCCGCTGGTTCACTGTGTGCCTGGGGATGAACCCCCTGCTCAGGGCACATGGATTTGCTTCCCATCAGTCTCCTGAATAGCTCCCAGGGGATGTGTAAATAGGGTTGAGCCAGGGAATGGTGAGAAAAGCCCCATCCCTGCCCCCAGGACACAGGAGGGGGCTCAGGAGGGTCTGCACCCCCAGTTGTTCCTGTGGCCGCTGCACACGCTGGAAAACGCGCTATCCTCAGGGATAACAGCCCCTCGGAGTGCCCAGCCTGTCCCTCTCCTGCTCAGGTGTTGCTGTAACAAATATTCTCATGTTTTGGGAATGAGCACTCGATCCCGACGATCCCGTTACACGGCAGCGGCGCCGCCGTCGGGTCTGGTGCAGATAAACCCCGGATCCCATCCCAGCGGGCTCGGGGGGTTGGGTTCCTGTGGGGTGAGGGGGCTGAGGGGGGCTGGGTGCTCCATCCGTGGGCTGGGGGCTCTTCCAGGCGCGCTGGGACATCGTTAATGGGGGGGGAATTTGGGGTTTTAGAAGAGGCCTTTGGGAGGCTCTGTGGGTTGTTATAAATGAGTGTTTGTCTGTAACAAAGGGCTGTAATGCAGCCTTGAAATATTCCAAGCTGGATTCCAAGTAGGGCTTTTAGCGTGGTGCTGTGATCTCGGGAGACTCCCGTTATTAATTTAGCACACGCCATCTCTTAGGGGATTAAGGAAATGTTTTATAGCCCAATAAATGTTCAGATCCTCTCCCTGCGCACCCAGAGACCCCATTACACCACTGTGGCAGAGTAAGTGCTTCCAAAGGGGCTGTAAACTGCAATGGGATCCTCTGGGAATGCCTTGAACGTGCTGGGAGTGGTACAGAAAGGTCTTGGCTGAGCTGAAACCTCAGCCCTCGCCGTAGCCTGGGTGTCCTTTGGCACAAACCCTCGTGGATCGGGGATCAGGCCTTGCCCTGTGTTGGGATGCTGCAGAGTGGGCTCACCCGTGGCACATCCCTGGGACACTCCCTCACAGATGGGACACTCCCTCACAGTGATCACACAGTGATCCACGAGAGTGGATTCCCGGTAGCCTTAGGGGAGCCATTTGGGTTTTGGGTGAGGCAGTTCCCATTTCGGGCTGGGAGGAGCTGCCGGTTCCTCCCCGCTGCCGTGGCCTGTTCGGGTGGCTCCTGTTGGAAGAAACGATGGGGTTTCCTCAAACACACCTTCTGTGTTTGGGGCAGCATTGTCCCCTCCTCCCTGTGGGGACAAGCCACCATTCTGTGGGGTGACACTGGACCCCGCAGGGTCGAGGTGCTGGATCCGGGGGGAGCCTCTGGATGCCGATGGATTTTCCCGCCGCCGCTCTGGGAAGATCCCTCTGTGCTCCCGAATCCAGTTGTCCTGCCCTTGCAGGGCTCTCGGGGCTGTTTCCTAAGAACCCCACGCAGGGAAATGTGTTGTTTTCCTTCCTTCTGGGCGGCCTCTTGGCCTTTCCGCCGCCCTGACGGGAGCAAAACACCGGGAGCGGGGTTGGGCTGCGGTTCCTCTGGAGACAACTCCTCTTGTGTAACTGGAGTGGCTGCAAACACTCGGGCCCAGAAATACCTCCCCAAGGTGTGTCCCCCTCAGAGGGCACCCAGCCAGAGCTTGCACAACCTCCACAGTGCCAACCAGAGACTCCAAGTCCGTGGAAAAGGGCATCAGGTCCCCCAGGAAGGAGGGGAGGTGGATGGAAGGGACCCCCTCGGCAGCGTTTTGGGGTTTGGGGGTGGCTCCTGTGCGGTGCTGCCTTCACTGCCCTGGCCCTGGGCCACTTGGCCAGGCTCCCTGCTGGGCCGTGCCAGGAGCTGTGTGGAGGGAACAGCCGGCTTTTCCACCCGGAGCTGTTGTCCCCAGGCTCCGGCGGGTCCCTCTGTCCCGGGGCAGGGCTCGGGATCGACCCACCAGCCTCGCACTGGGCTCAGGGGCTGTGTGTTCCCGTGTCTGGGGGTGCTGAAACCCCCTTTTCCTGCACTCAGCTCCTCCCTGAGGCTGTGCAAACCACTTCCAGCAATCCCATGTCTGCCTGTCGGGATCCCTGGCACGGCCCAGGCTCGGGAGGGAGGGAGAGGCTCCTTGGAAAGGCTGGGAAAGGGCTGGTTTCCTGCAGGAGCGATTTAAATACAACTCGCTGGAAGCCTGAACGGCCTCTTCCAGCCAAAAACCTGCCTGTTGCACAGGATCCAAAAGCTACTGGGGAGCGAGGCAGCCAAGGAAGGGTGTTGAGGGCAGGGCAGGGCAAGACACAGCCTGGGGGGGTTCAGAGTGCTGAGCCATCCCCACTTTGCTCCCTCGGGAAGGGCTGGACCTCCAGGCTGAGCCTCCAGCCACGCTGGGCTCGCTGGGCATTTTTTCCTACCTTCTATTTTTAGCTGCTCTCGAGTCAAACCGCCACAGTGACCCAAAACTCGCGGTTTAAAGGGCGCAGAGCGCCGTCAGTTTGTGTTTGTAGCGGGAAAGCTGCTGGGATCAGCAGAAATCCCAGAGTGTTCTGCCTGAGAACCAGTGAGCAGGGAAAACCAGGCTGGGAGAGCGTGGAAACTGGAGGGATTTGGTTCCAAGAAGCAGCAAAAAGCTGTTTTTCCCTGGAGAAGCTGTTTGTGCTGGGAGCTGCCAGGAGGCATTTTCAGCATGATGGGCTTTTTGGGAGGGAAATAAGGGGAGGGGAGAAATGAGTAGAGGAGAACTGGTCTGGGTGGAAGTCCTGGCTCCTATTCCTGTTTAATTCTGATTTGGGTGACCCTGTTCAGCCTGGCCCTTTCCTGGCATCCCCTGGAAGCTCCAACCTCCCCTTTCTGTTGCTTTATCAACGTCCTGTCCCTGCTCCCCAGCCCTGGGACGGGTCTGTCCCTGCTCCCCAGCTTGTTCAGCTGGTTTTTGTCCTTCGTTGGTGGTTTTGGAGGGGTTGAGCCCGCCCAGTGCCCCCCAGAGCTGTGCTGTGCTGGGGTCTCATGCTCTCCACGTTCCCCCAGGGCGCCTGAACTGGTGGGTGACGGTGGATCCCAGCTGCCAGCGGCTGCTGCCCCTGGCCACCACGGGCGACGGGAACTGCCTCCTCCACGCCGCCTCCCTGGGTAAGGCTTGGCTCGATCCGCGGGGGCAGGGCCCGGGTGGGAGCAGGGGGGGACCTCAGCGGGTTGTGGGGGGTGATACCAACCCCTCCTGACCCTATCCCCTCCATCCTTTTCCCCCCTCAGGAATGTGGGGCTTCCACGACCGGGACCTGATGCTGCGGAAATCCCTGTACACGCTGATGGACAAGGGAGCGGAGCGGGAGGCGCTGAGGAGGAGGTGGCGCTGGCAGCAGACGCAGCAGAACAAGGAGGTGGGAGCCTGGATTTGGGCCCTCCCTGCCCAGGGGAAGGTCCTGGGGAAGCACCCCCTGGGTTTGGGAGGTGTGGCAAACCAACACATCCCGTGGCTGAGGCCTGGTGGGATGGAGGTGCCCTCAGGGGGCCCTTTCAGGGACGTGGTGCGGAACGCGTTGATTGTTTTCGCACAAATCCGTAGAGAAAAGTTGTGCCTTGGGTATAAACCGGTGCTGCAGCGACTGGGAGAGGTTTCCTTGGAGGATTTTGGGTTCTCACTGCTGTTTTTTCCCAGTCTGGGCTGGTGTACACGGAGGAGGAGTGGCAGAAGGAGTGGAACGAGCTGATCAAGCTGGCGTCCAGCGAGCCCCGCGTGCACTACGGCACCAACGGCGGCGGCTGCAGCGGGTGCGTGAGTGCCAGTGGGCAGTGACACAGCCTGGGGGGAAACAGGGAACGCCCTCCCTCGGGGCACAGCTCGGGGGGCAGCCCCAGGGCAGGGGGCAGGGCTGGGGGGCCGCCTTGGGCCGGCTCGTTGGGGTTGCGCCGTCGATCCGCCCGTACATGGCTGCCTCTGAAACCTCCTCCTGGCATCACAAAGCAACGATGGGATATCCCAAGGGCGACATTCCTCTCCCCCCAGGGTGGAGAGCTCGGAAGAACCGGTGTACGAGAGCCTGGAGGAGTTCCACGTCTTCGTCCTGGCCCACGTGCTCAAGAGACCCATCGTGGTGGTGGCAGACACGATGCTGCGGGACTCGGGAGGCGAAGGTGAGGCCTGCCCTGTCCTCCCAAAGCCTCTCTGACCTCCCTGTGCTCAGGCTCCACCTTTTCCTCTCAAATCCCATGTTTTCACAAGGGCTCTTCGCCCCCGAGGCTGGGTCTGGAGTCGGGAGCAGCACCCGGGGCACATTCAACTCCCAGAAGGGCCCAGCTCGGCTCCCAGCCCTCTTTCTGCTGCTTTAAGAGCATCCCCATGAGGGTTTTTCTTTTTTGTACCTCTTTTTCCCCCCAACTCCCGTGTAGAGATGGGAAATTCCGTTCCCTGCGTGGTGGATTTTCCACCATTGGCTTCAGTGTCCCATCAGAGAGGGTCAATCCACTTCTATCACTCTGTGGGCAAAGTTTGTCTTGTGGGGGAGTGAAGAAGAGGAGGGTTTTTTATAGAAAATACCAGCTCATTCTGCATTTTCCACCCTCCTGATGTAAAATAAATGTCCGTTCTGGGGTTGTGGTTTTGTTTAAGGTCCCTTGAGATGACAGATAATTGCAGGTGAGACCTCAACTGAGGCAAACAGCTCGTTCCGGAGCAGTTGTGGCACAAACAACTCTGAACTCTTGAACCTGTGATCAGAACTAACTGCCCTGCTTTCTTCCCAGCATTTGCCCCCATTCCCTTTGGAGGGATCTACCTGCCCCTGGAAGTCCCAGCCAACAAATGCCACCGGTCTCCCTTGGTTCTGGCTTATGACCAAGCCCATTTTTCTGCCCTGGTCTCCATGGAGCAGAAGGAAAACACAAAGGATCAAGGTAGGGGACGAGATCCAGGTGAAAGAAGCACTGAAGGAGTCCTGTGGAGGAGGATTTGGGGGTGCTGGGGGGAAAGAGCTGGGCAGGACCCAGCAACATGCACCAGCAGCCCAGGAAAGCATCAGTGTCCTGACCCTGGAGCCCTTGCAGTGCCTAAAGGAGCTCCAGGAGCTGAGGAAGGACTTGGGACAAGGACATGGAGTGACAGGACAAGGGGGAACAGCTTCCCACTGACAAAGGGCAGGGTTAGATGGGATATTGGGAAGAAATTCCTCCCTGTGAAGGTGGGGAGGCCCTGGCACAGATTGCCCAGGGAAGCTGTGGCTGCTTCTGGATCCCTGGAAGTGTCCAAGGCCAGGTTGGACAGGGCTTGGAGCAACCTGGAATAGTGGAAGGTGGGACTGGATGACCCCATGGCAGGGGGTGGCACTGGATGAGCTTTAAGGTCCTTCCACCCCAAACCTGTCCACGATGCTCTGACAATTCCACGATCCCGGGCACTGGCAGCCACTGGGGTTTGCTGTGATGCTGTTCCCATCAGAAAGGGGGGCTGTGAGCGTGGGATATTTGTCCTTTTGGGCTGTAAACGAGGTGTTTCTGTCCCGGGGCAGCCGTGATCCCTCTGACGGACTCCGAGCACAAGCTGCTCCCGGTGCACTTCGCCGTGGATCCCGGGAAGGACTGGCAGTGGGGGAAGGACGACAGTGACAACGTCAAGCTGGCCAGGTTGGTGATCCACAGGGGATCCAGGTGATCCACAGAGCAGAGTGGTCAGGGCTGGAGGGGTCAGCCCTGACCCCAGCTGGGATTTCTTGTGCTGGGTGGAGGTTGGGCTTAGGGGATGACTCTGCTGGTGGGGATGGAGCAGCTTTTCCTTCATTCTCCTTCACTTTGGTACCTTTTGGGCGGGGCTGTGACACCTCCCGAGCTTCCCACATGTAAACACGGGGGAGACCCAGGTGGGAATTGGAAACTGGGCTCTAACTTGTGTTTTCCTTCCCCTCCCCTCCATGGTGACCCCAGTGTGACGCTGTCGCTGGAGGCCAAGCTGCACCTGCTGCACAGCTACATGACTGTGAGGTGGATCACGTTGCCTTGTGACACGCAGGTAAAGGGACTGGGAGGAATCTTCTTTGCCTGTGAATTATTTAACCCTCCTCTCTGCAGGGCAGCGGGTGTGGGGCCTCACCTGGGGGGCTCTGCCCGCCGGCTTTGCAGTTGATTCTGCTCTGAGCAGGGAAGTGACTCGGTTTGGTGGGTGTGCAGAGCTCTTTCTCTGAGCTTTCCATGCCCGTTTTCACTCTTCACACCGCCCTGAAGCCCCCGTGCCCCTCAGGGTGCTCCAAACAAACAGGAGCTGTTGGTTTACAGCGACCTCGGGACTGGCACCAAGGATCCTCCTCCCTCTTTGCTGGCCTTGCCCCTGAAACCTCGAGCCAGTGGAGATGTTGCAGAATCCCAGAATAGAGTCATAAAATCACAGAATAAAATCACAAAGTCCCAGAATATCCCAGGTTGGAAGGGTGCCACGGGGATATCCGTGGGTGTGCAGGGCAGCGTCGCTCGGCGTCCGAATGTTGCTCCGTGCCCCGAGCAGCATCACCTCCTTCTCTTGACCTTCCGCGTGAAAATCCCCACCCCAGGAATTCCTGGAGTTTGAGATTTGGCTTTTTTCCTTCTTCCCCAGGCGCCTCTGGCCCAGCCGGAATCCCCCACGGCCTCGGCGGGGGACGACGCTCGCTCGGCGGCGGAGTCGGGCGAGTCGGACAAGGAGTCGGTGTGCAGCAGCTCCGCCAGCAACGGCGGCGTCAGGGCGGCCAAGGACAGGGAGAAGCCAAAGAAAGAGCGGGAAAAGGAGAAGGACAAAAAGCGGGCAGACTCGGTGGCCAACAAGCTGGGGAGCTTCGGCAAGACCCTGGGCAGCAAGCTAAAAAAGAACATGGGGGGCTTGATGCACGGCAAGGCCACGAAGGGCGGCCTGAGCAACGGGCAGGGGGACACCCTGGAGAAGAAGAAGAAGGGGTCCCTGAAGGCGCGGAAGGGCAGCAAGGAGGAATGTTCCCCGGGGGATCTGGTGGCCCCCACGGAGAAGGCGTGCCCGGGGAAGGCGGCCCCGGAGAAGGCGCCGGACCCCTCCAAGTACAGCAGCGACGTGCGGCTGAGCCTGAGCATCCTGCGCGCCGCCATGCAGGGCGAGCGCAAGTTCATCTTCGCCGGCCACCTCAAGACCAGCACCCGGCACCAGTTCCAGGAGGAGATGATCCAGAGGTACCTCCTGGACGCCGAGGAGCGCTTCCTGGCCGAGCAGAGGCAGAAGGAGGCGGAGAAGAAGGCGCTGGGCGGCGCCGCCCCGGCCAAGAAGCCGGAGGGGGAGGCGGGCGCCCACCGGGGCGAGGAGGCAATGCCGGGCCCCGCGTTCCCCCCGCTGCCCCCCGCCTACCCCTCCCAGCCCCCCGAGCCGGCCCTGGGCGCTAAAATAGCCGCGTTTCCCGCCGGCTATTCCGGCGTTTTCACCTTCCCCAGGCCCTCGGTGGGCAGCGCGGAGGGGCCGCACCCCCCCGGGTGCCCCGAGGGCCGCAGGCAGCTGGCGGGGGGGCCCTGCGGGAGCCTCCCCCCCTACGCCACCCTGCCCCGGCACCACCAGACCCGGCCCGGCCCCCCTGGCCCTGCCCAGCCGGGCAGGTTCTCCCCCACGGACATGGACACGCAGCCCCCCTTCCCGCCGGAGTGCGAGGGCTCCTCTGGCTGCCTCGCCCCGCACAGCAACGGCTGCCGGGAGTTCCTGGAGCAGGACAAGGGGGCAGCGGCGGCGGAGAAATCGAGGAGCCGGGCCCTCTACAGCATCCAGCTGACCAAGTGCAAACAGCCCAACTGCAGCTTTTATGGACACCCGGAGACTGGGAACTTCTGTTCCTGCTGTTACAAGGAGGAGCTGCGGCGCCGGGAGCGGGAGGCGCTGGTGCACAGGTTCTGACGCTCCCCCCCTCCCCACCGCGCGGATCTGGGACCCCTGGAACACGGGGAATGCAATAATAGAGATCCAGTATGGTTTTATACGCCCCCCTCCCCGGCCCCCTCCTGCTCTGCGGGAGGCGGGAGCGGGCGATCCTGGGATTGGGCTGGTGGGATGGAGGGGGATGCAGGAGGGAGAGGGTGGGGGGAAACCAGCCCCTGCTTTCCCGGAGCCCCTGCGAGGGAGGAGGAGGAGGAGGATTCCCAGGGGTGGCCTTGGGACAGCGGGGGCTGCTCGAGTCGGAGCACAGGGTGAGGGGGGAGAATTCCTCAAAAACTCAATAAACCAGACCAAAGCTTTGGGAGCTGGGGGTGTGGGGGGGGTGCAGCCCCCGCCGGGTCCTTCCGACCGCCCGGGACGGAGCGAAAACGCCCCAGTTGGAGCGTCACAAACCTTTTAATGGAGTTTTTTAACACTGGTTTTATTCTGTATTTCTTCTTGCTGGTACTGAGCGACGGTCGGAGTTGGACATTGTCGGGGGGGGTGGGGGGTGGGTCGCACTCCCCCTGCCCGGCCCTGGGATGGCTCCGAGCGTTGGGGAGGGTGGGCTCGGGCTCTGCCCCTCTGTGGCGGGCTCTGCCCTCCCCCACACACGGGCCCTTCCCCAGCCCCTCAGCTCTGGTTTTAAAATGCTCTTTTCAAACGCTTCCTGGGGCAGGGGGAGCTCCCAGCGCTCCGGGGGTTGGAGCTTTACTTTTTGTGGGAACCGAGGGTCGAGGGTCGGGGTCTCCTGCCGGGAATTCCCAGCGGGGTGGGGCAGATCCCCCCGGGGCAGGAGGGGATCGATCCGGGGCGGGGTGTCGCATAACTCCGTACTTGAGCACAGCTACTCTGTACTACCTCTGATCCTGATTAACTCGGCTCCGCTGTGCTGAGCCACCGACTGACCTTTAGGCTGCGGAATTAATGCACATTTTTGATAACAGGGCTAAAAAGCGGAACAATAAGGTAAAAAAACCCTCCCGTGACTAACGTCCCACGGCATTCCCAGCCCCATCCCGGCCCCTCCTCCCCAGCTCCCAGGGTGGGATTCACTTTAGCACTGCGATGTTTGCACAGAATTCCTTGGGGTTTTTTGGTAACTGCAGCTCCCAAACCGGGCCCTCCCCCATCCCCGGTCCTGCACAGGGCGAGGGGCAGCGTTTCCCATCACATGGAAATAAAACGGGAGTTCTGATCCCTCAGCCCGAGCTTTGCAACATTCCCTAGGTTTTATTTTGGGGGTTTGTTTTCCAGAAGGCGCCAAACTATGCAAGGCCCTCCCGAGCTGCCCCTGCCTGTGGCCCTTCCCTGGGAGAAGGGAGAAGGGATGGGGCAGAGGAGCTGGAAGGGTGCTGAGTTCGGGGCTCCCAGTGGCACCCCAAACACCTTTGAGTCCACCCAGCGACGCTCCCTTGCCCGCGAATTTTCAAATCCAAGTTTCAAATGCCCCAGGGATGGTTTGACTCCGGTTTTAAGTCGTCTCCCCCCTGGTTTTACAAAATCCCCGAGCGTGGGTCGCTCCCTCTGGCTCCTCTGACCTCAGAACAACTGCCAGAGAGTGCATTTTTCCCCTTCAAACTGCAGGAATTCCGATGGACTTTACCCCGGGGCAGGGATGTGCTCTGGCCCCGCTTGGTTCACCCCGGGTTTTAAGCCAAGATGGTTTTAAAACCAAACCAAACCCTCACTGTTGTGTGGGTTTCACTTGGGTTTTCAGGTTCCAGTGTCCCATGGTCATTTTTCCCAGAATCAGAGCAGCAGCTTCATTTTGGGGTTGGGAATATCCTCCGGGAGCAGGGATGCCCCCACGGCACAGGGGGGGAAGGTGGGAGGTGACACTTCACCCGGGTTTTGGGAGAATTCCTCTGCAATTTGGTTAAATCCATCCCGATGGAGGCTGGCTTTGGGTGGGGGTGGGAAGTGCCCGGACCCGCTCGCTGCTTTTTTTGGGTTTGGGGGGTGGGGAGAGAGAGGGAAAATGCAGAAAACCTGGAGGAAAAGCACCAATCCTGCCCTGGGGAGGGATTTTTTTTTTCCACTGGGATGGGGACAGGGAGGCTGCAATGTGACCCCCAAGGTCAAACTAAGTGCACTTACTGGTGTGGTTGGAAATTCAAATCGCTGCCATCGGATCCTGGTGGAAGAGAGCTTTGTCTTTCAGGGTGTGTAAAACCCGTTTTATTGGGATTTTCTCTGGTTTTATTAAATGGGATTCACCTTCGCCGGCCCCCTCGGCGGGGGAGGCCGGGGCAGCTCTGGGTCTCACTAACGCCGAGTGACCTGAATTAATTCTGCAGTGGTTTATTCACAGAAAAAAAAAAAAAAAAAAAGCAACACCCAACCTTTTATTTTTATTATTATTATTATTAATTCCGTATTAATTGGTGATATTCGGCCTCCTGGTGAGCAGGGCTGGAGCGGCGCGGTCGGGCTGTACCTGCGGCCTCGTTGTGCTGCCTCAGACTCACTGACAATAAAAACCTTCAGCTGATGCACCCGGGCAGCGCCGAGGCTCCTTCCTCCCCTCACCTCTCCTGGGGACCCCAATTCCCTCCCTGGGGCTGCTCCTCATCCCCTCCTCCATCCAATTAGTGGGATTTTGGGGGTTTTTTTTGTCCTCTCTCCTGGGGAGCAGGTAAGTCCCCCTTCTATTCCTTCTCTTTCCTTCTATTCCATTTGTTCTGTGATTCCATTTCTGTACCAGTTCTCGGCTTTGATTTAAAATTGAACCCCATAACCACCCCTCCCTTCCCTTTCTGTCTGTCCTCGCTGACCTTGGAGCCTTTTCCCCAACTGCATCCCAAGGACGACCCCCAGGGGATGCTCCGGTCTTTGACCCGAGCCTCAGGATAAAATCCAGGGATAAAATCCAGCTGCCTCCCTGCACGGGCTGGTCCAAATACTGAAGCTTTACAGGGGTTTGGGGATGGATCGCGGGAAGTGGGACCCTGGGTGCGGCTTCCCGCGGGATTTCTGCGCATTGGGATTTTCCCTCCCGGCTCCCGGTGTTTGCCCTCCACTCCGTGCCCGGTGCCACGTCTGTGCCGGCCGATTTTCCTCCAGGATTTTTTTCTGCTGGGGCGGCCCGGGCTGACCCCGCGCTGGCCGCGGAGCAGCTCCCGGCTCGGAGCCTCCAGGAAATTCCTCTCCTCTGCCAGGAGCCAAAATCCCATCCGAGCCCCACCGGGATCCTCCGCCAGGTGATTCTCCTGCAGGAGGAAAACTGGGGCACACGAGCTGCAGCCCCCGAGGCTGGGGCGGCCCCAAAAATCTGGGGGGAAAGAAATACACCAAAAATGGGATTTGGAGCCGGAGCTCCAAAACGTGCTCCGGTGGGTTTTCCACGAGCCTGGGTTGTGCCAGGATTTATATCCCCATGTGCTGCTGCCTTGGCTCCCTTGGGGTTTGGGGTTGCCCCGGGGGTCTCGTGGCATTGGGGGGTGGCACAGGTGGCCCCAGGGCCACCATCCACCTGCTGCCGGGTGCGGGGTCGGAGCCCCGGTGGTCGGCGAGGCGGGGGCCGGGCGGGCCCGGCTCGGGAGCCGCCGTTCCGGCTGGGAGGAGAAGGCTCCGTGCTTGGGCCGTGAGTCACCGCGCTCCGCCCGGCCCGGAGAGGCCCCGGGGCCCCCCCGTGACGCTGCGGGGACGGGACGGGGTTTGGGGGTTCCCCTGCCCGGGGCAGCGCTTATTGGGGGCCGGGGCTCGGGGACCCCAGGACCGCCCGCCCCTGGCGGGGTCTCCGGGGCTGCGGGGACCCCAGAACGGCCTGTCCTGGGACGGGGTCCCCAGGGCTGTACCCCCGCCTGGGCTCTCCCCGCTTTCCCACCGCCGCGACCGGGCGCTGGGATGGAGGGGGGCGGGATGCCGGGAGCGGAAGGGTCGGGATGCCGGGATGGATCGAATCCCGGGCCCCGGGGGGGCGGGATGCCGGGGCAGGGTTGCCGGGGGAGGGCGGGATGCCAGGATGAGGGGCGGGATACCGGGCAGGGATGCCAGGGGAGGGCGGGATGCCGGGGTGAGGGGCGGGATGCCGGGGCCGGGCCGGGCCCTCCGGGCTCCCTCCCGGCCGCTCCGGCCCCGCCGCTCCGGGCCCGCCCGGCCAAAGTCCCTGCGCCATGAGCGGGGCCCTGGGCGGGCGCCGCCCGCCCTTTCCGGGCTCCCAGGTAGGGCCGGGGCCGGGACCAGGGGTCCAGGGGTCCCGGGGGCTCGGGGGGCTCGGGGCCCTCGGAACCCCGGACCGAGTGCCGGTTCCCGCAGGGGAGCGGGTGCTGGAGGAGGCGGCGGGCGCCCGGCAGCGCTGCGGGGCCGGCTCCGTCCCGGGAACGCTGCTCTGCACCAACCGCCGCCTCGCCTTCCTGCCCGGCCAGGTGCGACGGGAACACCGGCAACGCCGGGAATACCGGGAACGGGCCCCGCGCCGGCCCCGTCCCACCGCATCCCTGTCCCGTCCCGACCCCATCCCACCGCATCCCTGTCCCATCCCAACCCCATCCCACCTCATCCCTGTCCCATCCCGACCCCATCCCACCGCACCCCGGCCGTCAGCCCAGCCCCTTCCCACCCCATCCCTGCCCCATTCCGGCTTCACTCCAAACCCATCCTGACCCTCATCCTGGTTGCATCTACACCCCCTACCAGCTGCACCCCAGCCCCATCCCAGCTCCATCCCAACCCCATCCCAAGCCCATCCCAGCTCCATCCCAACCCCAGCCCACCCTGGCTGGTCGATTGTGGAACCGCCGTGTTCGCCCTGCGAGCTCCTCGTGGCCTGGGGGGCGAGGAACAAGGAACGAGGGACACGGGACAGCCGTGGAGCCCAGGCCCATCCCCACCACCCTTCCTGGGATCGGGGGGACACTCTGGGGCAGCTTCCAGCCCTCCCTGCTCTCCCACAGGGCCCTGGCTCCCACGGCTTCCTGCGCTCTGAGGACGAGGTGGCCCTGACCTGCATCCGCAAGCTGGTGGCAGGTAACGGCACATGTGTGATGAGCTGGGCAGGTCTCGGGGCTCAGCTCTGTGTGATGAGCTGGGCAGGTCTCAGATGGCCCTGATGGCCTCCCTGTGCCACCCCACTCAGCCAGCAGCTTCTCCAAGCCCAAGGTGCTCACGGCCACCTCCACCCTCAAGTTCATCCCCGAGGAGCTCGCCGTGTTCTGCCGGGATTTCCGCCTGCTCCGCTTCTCCTTCCCCGACAACGGGTTGGCTCCACAGGCGTTCCGGGTGAGCCTGGAGGGGTTTGGGGGGGTGGTGATGGAGTGTTGGACCCTCACTCTGGGTTCTGGGGGGGTTGGGGGGGCTCACACCCCACCCTGGCTGCCCTCGCAGGTGGCCAACGCCATCGCCCAGGCGCGGGAAGCGGCCGCGTGGCCGGGGGACACCGAGGGACACGACGGCTGCTCCTGCCCTGGCGAGGCCCCCCTGGAGGAAGAGGAGGAGGATGAGGAGGAGGAGGAGGAGGAGGAAGGCCTGGGAGCCACGCTGCTCTTCGAGAGCCTGCGGGACTGGGAGGAGGAGCTGGAGCGCCTGGGTGCCACGGGCTGGAGGGTTAGCGCCGTCAACGAGCGCTTCGACATGGCCCCCAGGTACGGCCCCCCAGGGCATGGGGGTCCCTGGGCCCCCCAGCACCCAGGGGGGTGTCACAGCATGGACCTCCCACCCCCCCGGAGGGACCAGCCGTGGGGAAACCCCTCCCCATCTGCCCCCGTGTGACCCCACCCTGTGCCCCCCCTGCCCGCAGCCTCCCCCGGTACCTGTGGGTGCCCAGCGGGCTCCTGGACCACGACCTCAAGCGAACCTTCGGCCACTTCCAGGAGCGCCGGGTGCCCGTGAGTGCCCAGGGGCCTCGGCGGGGTGGGCAGGGGGGGCTGGCGCTGCTGGGGGGGTCACCCTGTTTCCCCCACAGCGCCTGTGCTGGCACCACCCGGCCGGGGGGGACCTGCTGAGAACTGGCGGCTTCCACCCGGCCTCGGAGCCGGGCAGCGAGGATGTGAGGTGGGCCCTGGGGGTCCTGGGGGGGGTACTGGGGGTGTCACCCCGGCCTGGCCTCACGTGGGGGTCCCTGTGCCCCCCCCAGGTGCCTGGAGATGCTGCTGCTGGGGGGCCGCGGGCCCTGCGTTCTGTTCGACACGGCCGAGCTGCCCTCGCCCGCCGACATCCAGCTCGCCCACCTCAAGCTGCAGGCGCTCTGCCTGCCCGGTGAGCAGCATGAGGGGGGGCCCCGGGGACCCCCAAACCTACCGTGGGTGGGGGGCTTCCCCCCACTGAGCCCTCGTCCTGTGGGACCCAGGAGCGGCGGCGGAGGAGAAGTGGCTCTCGGCCCTGGAGGGGACGCGCTGGCTGGAGCACGTCCGGTGAGCGGGGGCCGAGGAGGGGCCCTTCGGGGTGCAGGGGGGATATTCCCCTAAAACCCCACTCCCCACAGCTCCAGGTGGCTGTGGGACAACCGGGGGCACTGTGGTGGGTGCGTGAGCCCCCCAGGGCAGGTGCCTGTGGCATTTTGGGGTGCCCTGACCTCCCCTTTTTGCCCCCCCAGCACCTGCCTGAGGAAAGCCGTGGAGGTGGCGTCGCTGCTGGTGGGGAGACGCTGCTCCGTGGTCCTGCAAGGTGGGGGCACCGGCAGGGGGGTGCAGGGAGAGGGAAATGGGACCCCCCCTCACCACCCTCACCCCCCCAGAGCCCTCGGACCGGGACCTGAACTGTCTGCTGGCCTCGCTGGTGCAGCTCCTGGGGGACCCCCACGCCCGCTCCCTGCCCGGCTTCCAGAGCCTGGTGCAGCGGGAGTGGGTGGCAGCCGGGCACCCCTTCCCACACCGCCTGGGGCTGCTGCGCAGGGACAGCCCCCGAGAGGAGGTGAGACCCCCATCCCCGTCCCCATGGGGTGACAGGAGCTGGGACCTCCCTGGGGAGGAGGTGAGACCCCCATCCCCATGGGGTGACAGGAGCTGGGACACCCCTGGGGAGGAGGTGAGACCCCCATCCCCATGGGGTGACAGGAGCTGGGACACCCCTGGGGAGGAGGTGAGACCCCCTGTCCCCATCCCCCCAGGGTGACAGGAGTGTCCCCCCCAGGCCCCCGTGTTCCTGCTGTTCCTGGACTGCACGTGGCAGCTCCTGCGGCAGTTCCCGGGGGATTTCGGCTTCACCGAGGCGTTTCTGCTGGCGCTCCACGACAGCAGCTTCAGCCCCTTCCTCAGCACCTTCCGCTTCAGCTGCCAGCGCCAGCGGGGCCAGGGCGGCCCGGTGAGGGTGGGGGGCACCCCTGCGTCCCAGACCGGGCAGGGACACCCCCAAAACCTCCCCAGCCCCTCGGTTTCCCCACCCCAAACCGGGCACTGACTCCCCCCCTGCCCCCCATCTCTCCCGCAGCCCGGCCCCGCAGCCAGACCTACCGCCCGGTGGGGGGCTGGCAGGACCCCTCGGGGGGGCACGGGGGGGGCCCCTCTGCCTGCCCCTTCCCCCCGGTGTGGGCCTGGGGGCTGCGCCACACGCGGGAGCAGCGGGAGCGGTTCCGGAACCCCGCGGGACCCCCGGGCCCCCCCGAGCCCCCGAGCCCGGGCAGGGTGAGTGGGGCTGGGATGGGGGGGCTGCACCCACCCCTGCTTTGCCCCCCCTCTGCCCGTCCAGCTGGCTTTTCCCCCCGTTTTTTCACTAATCCCTATTTCCCCCCACCCCATTTTTCCCCTTCCCAATGGATTCCCCCCCCTCCTTTATTTCCTTAATCCCACATTTCCCCCCTTTTTTCCCTTCCTGCTGATTTCCCCTCTCCTTTTTTCCCCGATCCCCACTGCCCACCATTCCTCCCCCTGCTGGATTTTCCCCCCGTTTTCCCTAATCCCTGTTTTTCCCCTTTTCCCAGCCCGGAGCCCCCTGCCCGTGGGGGGTTCCGGGCCGGTTCTGGCGCTGGCCAAGGGCTCGCTGTGCCCCCACCCTGCCCTGGCAGAGCAGCCGCCCCCTCACGCCCCCCACAGCGGGACCCCCCCCCAGAGAGCAAGGGGGGCTCCTCGGGGGGCTCCCGTTCCCCCCTGGGGCTGCTCCTGCCCTGCACGGCCGGGCCCTGCGTGCGGCTCTGGCACCGCTGCTACCTCAGGGGGCTGCCCCAGGAACAGGTACCGGCACGGGGGGACAGGGGGGTCCTGCTTTGGGGGGGTTCTGCTTTGGGGGGGTCCTGCTTTGGGGGGTCCTGCTTTGGGGGGGTTCTGCTTTGGGGGGTCCTGCTTTGGGGGGTCCTGCTTTGGGGGGGTGCTGCTTTGGGGGGTCCCAACCTGTCCTGCTGTTTGGGCTGGGGGGATGAGGGGGGGGTGTCTTGTATGGCCATGCCCATCCAGACCCCGTGTCCTTCCATCTGCCCCCATCCATGTCCCTGTCCCATATCCCTGTCCCATTCCCGTGTCCCTGTCCCATTCCCATGTCACATTCCCATATCCCTGTCCCATTCCCATATCCCTGTCCCATTCCCATGTCCCATTCCTGTGTCCCAGTCCCATTCCCATGTCCCTCTCCCATATCCCTGTCCCATTCCCATATCCCATTCCCCTGTCCCATTCCCATTCCCATATCCCATTCCCCTGTCCCATTCCCATTCCCATATCCCATTCCCATGTCCCATTCCCATTCCTACCCCCACCCCCTCTCTCCCCAGCGCGGGCTCTTTGCCCCATCCCGCTCCGGCGTGGCCGAGGAGCTGGAGCTGCTCCAGGACCGGATCCGCGCCTGGAACGCGCGGAGACCCCGCTGAGCCCCCGGAGAGCACCTGACCCCGCACAGCTCCGGGGTCCCACTGGGATCCCTCGGGATTTGGGTGTTCGGGGGGTCCCGGGAAGGGCAGAGCAGGGACCCCGCTTTGCATTAAACTGCGCTGCCCCCACAGGCCTGAGGAGCTCCGGGATGGGACGGGAGGAGACGGGATGGGACTGGGAATGGGGATGGGAACGGGATGGGACTGGGAATTGGGATGGGAACAGGATGGGACTGGGAATGGGGATGGGAACGGGAATGGGGATGGGAATGGGAACGGGATGGGAATGGGATGAGACAGAAATGGGAGGGGATGCTGTGGGAGCCCAGAACTGGGACCCTCAGCCATGGGATCCCCTGGAACTGGGATGGATCCCTTGACACTGGGATGGATCCCTTGGCACTGGGATGGATCCCCTGGAACTGGGATGGATCCTTTGACACTGGGATGGATCTCTTGGCACTGGGATGGATCCTTTGACACTGGGATGGATCTCTTGGCACTGGGATGGATCCCTTGACACTGGGACGGATCCCTTGACACTGGGATGGACCTCCCGGCACTGGGATCTCCCAAGCACTGAGGGCGCTCCCTGCCGCCCGCCTGTCGCGGGCGCTGTCGCGGGCGATGTCGCGACAGGCGACAATGGCGCCGCGCCCCTCCCGCCCACACCCAAGATGGCCGCCTCGCCTTCCTGACGTCACTTCCGGCAAGCCTCCTGCGAGCGACGCGGTGACGTCACGGGCGTGCGTCGCCGCGCGCGGGAGCGGGAGAAGATGGCGGCGGGGCCGATCTCGGAGAGGAACCAGGGTGGGAGCGGGGGGGACACGGGGAGCGCTGGGGGCGCTGGGACCGTGGGGAGGCACCGGGAGGACCCTGAGCGCATGGGGGGACACCGGGGGCTCTGGGGCCATGGGGGTAGGGGGTGGTCTGATGTGCCGAGGGAAAAGGGGGGGCTGGAGGGGCCGCCTGGATGAGGGCGGATTGAGGGGGGGTCTGGTGAAGGTTTGGGGGGGCTTTGACGTGAGGGATCCCACCCAGAGCCCCCCGTTATCCCGGGGGTTCCCCTGGGCGATCCCAGACCAGCCCCCCGTTATCCCGGGGGTTTCCCTGGGCGATCCCACCCCAGAGCCCCCCGTTATCCCGGGGGTTCCCCTGGGCGATCCCACCCAGAGCCCCCCGTTATCCCGGGGTTTCCCGGCTCTGACCCGCGTTCCCGCAGATGCCACGGTGTACGTGGGGGGCCTGGACGAGAAGGTCAGCGAGCCCCTGCTCTGGGAGCTCTTCCTGCAGGCCGGGCCCGTGGTCAACACGCACATGCCCAAGGACCGGGTCACGGGCCAGCACCAGGGTGAGAGACCCCCCCCAAATCCCAAGGGGGGGCAGAGCCGGGGCCGGGGGTCACGGGCCAGCACCCGGGGGAGGGGCTGGGACCCCCAGACCTGAGCTGGGGGCAGAGCCGGGGGTGGAATCGGGGTGGGCAAAGGGGGGGATCACCTTCCATCCCTCGGGGGGTGTTCAGACTGAGCGGGGATTGAATGAAGCGTCAGGCGGGGCTAAAACCGAATCGAGGGGGTTCCAATCAGCGTGAAAACGGGGTTTGAGTCCCTTGGGGTTTAGATCGAGGGGGGCTTGGGTGGGTCTCCTCCCTGAAGACCCGCGGGGTCCCCCTGAGGCCTCTGGGGCGCCCCAGGGTACGGCTTCGTGGAGTTCCTGAGCGAGGAGGACGCCGACTACGCCATCAAGATCATGAACATGATCAAGCTGTACGGGAAGCCCATCCGGGTGAACAAGGCCTCGGCCCACAACAAGAACCTGGACGTGGGCGCCAACATCTTCATCGGCAACCTGGACCCCGAGATCGACGAGAAGCTGCTCTACGACACCTTCAGCGCCTTCGGGGTCATCCTGCAGACCCCCAAGATCATGCGGGACCCCGACACGGGCAACTCCAAGGGCTACGCCTTCATCAACTTCGCCAGCTTCGACGCGTCGGACGCGGCCATCGAGGCCATGAACGGGCAGTACCTGTGCAACCGGCCCATCACCGTGTCCTACGCCTTCAAGAAGGACTCCAAGGGCGAGCGGCACGGCTCGGCGGCCGAGCGGCTGCTGGCGGCGCAGAACCCACTCTCGCAGGCCGACCGCCCCCACCAGCTCTTCGCCGACGCCCCCCCGCCCGCCTCGGTGCCGCGCCCGTCGTCACCAGCGTGGGGCCTGGCAGTCACCCCAGGTGGGTGGGGGCGCTGGGAGAGGGTTTTGGGTCAGGGTCACCCCCAGGTGGGTGGGGGTGCTGGGAGGGGGTCATGGGCACCTGAGTGGATTTGGGGTCAGGGTCGAACCCCAGGTGGGTGGAGGCGCTGGGAGGAGGGCATGGGTAGGTTTTTGGGTCAGGGTCACCCCCTGGTGGGTGGGGGGCGCTGGGAGGGGCGCACAGGCACCTGTGAGGGGGGTTTTGGGTCAGGGTCACCCCCGCTGGGTGGGTGGGACGCGGGCCTGGGGGTGACAAGGGTGGGTCACAGTCACACAGGGGGGCTTTGGTGACACTTGGGGGGCTCGGGGTTGCCCGTGGGGGGGTTGAATGTCGTGTTTCTCTGGCTGAGGGGGTTTCCCCCCTGTCCCAAACTCCCGCCCTGTGTTCCAGGCCTGCCTCCCCCCGGCTCGTTCCCGCCGCCGGTGCCGCCGCCCGGGGCGCTGCCCCCCGGGATGCCCCCGGCCATGCCCCCCGCCGATGCCGCCGGCGCCGGAGCCCGGGCCCCCTCGGGGCTGCCCCTGCAGGGGGGCACCCCCCACACCCACACCCCTTCCCGCCCGGCGGGATGCACCACCCAGGTACGGATCCGGCCGGGAATGGGGCCGGGAATGGGGCTGGGAATGGGGCTTGGCTTCTCCGCTTGTGCAGGGCAGGGTGAGGGGATCCCCCCCCTCCAATCCCGGCGGGATTGCCAAAGGATTTGGGGAATTCAGGAAGTCGTGGCACTCTGAGAAGGCACCTGGGCAGGGAGAGGGGGCCTGGTTTCCTCGAAACCAGGGAAGGCAGGGATGCAGGCAGGGAAGGCAGGGATGCAGGGAAAGAAAGCAGGGAGGAAGGGAGGGATGCAGGGAGGGAAGGCAGGGATGCAGGGAGGGAAGGGAGGGATGCAGGCAGGGATGCAGGGAAGGAAGGCAGGGATGCAGGGAGGGAAGGTAGGGATGCAGAAGGGAAGGCAGGGATGCAGGGAGGGAAGGCAGGGATGCAGGGAAGGAAGGCAGGGATGCAGGGAGGGAAGGCAGGGATGCAGGCAGGGAAGGCAGGAGCTAATTTGGGGATTAATAATCCAAGGAAACCAGTCATTTCCCTGATTCCCTGCTGGCCCCATGGCCCCGGGAAGGAGCCTCAGCTCCGGCTTCAGAAGCCCGAATTTTGTGAAATGTGCAATTTGATGATTCCCTGGGATTTGTTTGATCCTGTGGCTCTGGAGCTGCCCTGATTAGGGAGCTTTGTGTGATCCGCCCTGGCCGTGCCAGGAGCAGATGGCGGCGGGGCCTGAGCGGAGCCAATTACACCCGGAGAGGGAAAACCTGGAGCTTCCCAGGGCGAGGGAGGAATCAGTTTGTTGGGTTTTTTTTTTTCAATGGGATAATTGAGAAAAAAGGGAGTTTGGGAGGGAGGTTGAACCTGGATTCTCCAGCCAGGGCAGGGCAAGGCAGGCTCCAGCACCAGTTTGCTTTGGGAACTTGTCCAGCATCTCCAAGGATGGTGATTCCCCAGCACCCCACACAGGGCTGCACACACCTGGTGTCCCATCTCTTTTCCCCCACACACTCCCTATCCCATCTCCTTTCCCCCCACACTCCCTATCCCATCTCCTTTCCCCCACACACTCCCTATCCCATCTCCTTTCCCCCACACACTCCCTATCCCATCTCTTTTCCCCCACACTTGCATCCAAGCCCTTTCCTCGTGCCGTAGTCTCCGTGTCCCCTCCTTTTTAACCCCCTTTTCAGCAGCAGAAGCCCCCCCTGCATCCCTCCCTGGACCCAGCTGGAATTCCATCCCCTGGGGGTGCCAGGAGCTGCTTCCCTGCCCCCCTAACTCCCTTTTCCCCCCCCCATGCAGGAATGCCACCGATGCAGGTGCACCACGGACCGCCCGGGATGGGCCAGCACCACCCGGGCCCCCCGGGCTCTGGAGGGCAGCCACCCCCGGCCCCCGGGAATGCCCCACCGGGACCCCCAATGGGGCTCCCACCCGGGGGCCGCACTTCGGATCACCCATGGGTGAGTGAGTGGGGTCTGCTCCCACGGGGATTTGGGGATTTGGGGGAGTGGGGGGCACTTGTGGGAGAGGTTGGGGGCACCTGCTGGATGTGGCACCCCTGGGGGTTTGGGGGCACCCACTCTGGGGGGCTGGGGGAGTTTGAGGGGCTCTGCTGGGGGGGCTGGGGGTGGGGTTTGGGGGTCACTGCAGCCCCCGGGGTGCTGACGCCCCTGTCTGTCCCACAGGTCACCCTGGGCCGCTGCCGCACCACGGGCTCCGCGGGCCCCCCGCTGATGCCGCCCCACGGCTACAACGGGCCCCCGGCCCCCCTACGGATACCAGAGGGTCCCGCTGCCCCCACGGCCGGCACAGAGACCCCCCGGGGTGCCCCCCCGCGGGCCCCTGCGGGGACCCCTGCCCTGAGAGGGGGGGGGCAGCCCCCCCACCCCGCTCGGGACCCTCTGCTCTCCACCCTCGGCCTTCCCGGGCCCCTCGGACCAACATTCCCTCTCCTGGGGGGCACTGGGGGTGTCCCTGCCCTCTGTCCTTGCCCCCCACACTCTCCCCTCCCGTTTGTTTCCCTAGTGTGTCGGTTTTCCTCGCTCTCCCTACACCTCCTCCCGGTTCTCTCTCCCTGGCAGCTTTTCCGAGCCCCTTTTTTACCAGATTTGCGTGTTTTGTAGGGAAAGCGGTGCCCGCCCGCTGGCAAATAAAGGATTTGGGAACCAAGGGGGGGTCCCTGCCTTGGGGACGAGGCTCTGCCTGTTTGTCACCAGCTGAGGGGTGGTGGCTGCCCCTCAGAGCCCCCCAGGACACTCATCCCAGAGACAGGGATGTCCAGGAGGGATTTGGGATGAATCCTGCTCTGCTGAGTCCCTGCCACGTCCCTCAGGAGGGGAAGGAGCTGTGGGATCTTGGGTTGGGATTGCTCACAGCTGGTTTCCCTGTGGTTTTGGGGGTGGTCTTAACTGGGGGTGAAGCTCTTGGGCTGGGAGAGGATGGAGAGGATGGCTCTGCACTTCCTGGGGCTGTGCCGGAATCATCTGCCCTTTCCTCCCTCGTTCAGCACCGGGAGGAGGTGTCAGAGCAGGACCTGGGGATGGGAAGGATTTGGGAAGCTGTGAGGAGGGGGCACTGTTGGCTTCCATCATCCCCTTCTCCCCTGGTGTTACCCCACTGCCACCCCAGCTTTATCCCATCATCCGCCCTGGTTTTATCCCGTCATTCCCAGTCACATCCCACCTTCCCTCCGGCTGTATCCCAATGTCAGCCCTGCTTTTATCCCTTTCCCCCTATCTTAGGTCACCATCCCCCTGGTTTTATCCCTATCCCACCTCCCTCCCGGGTTTTCAGGCCCCACCAAACTCTGCTGGGGGCCCTCGGGGACGTTCCCAAGGAGGAGCCATTCCCTGTCCTGCTGCCAAGGCTGTTCCTCCCATGATCCCCATGAAGCCCCCGGGGCTGAGTGTGATCGGGGACACTGTGACAGTGGCACATGAGTCACCGGGAGCCCGAGGGCACCCGGCCTCACCCTGCAGCTCCATCCCCCTTTTGGGGTTGTTTCCAGGGAGGTGCCACCGCTATTCCTCAGCTCCCGGGTTCCCAAATCCTTCCCTGTGCTGGTGCCACTGGTGTGGACTGCGTCCTGTCTGTGTTTTCCAGTCTCAGAGGGGGAAAAGAGCTGATCCTGCTGGATCCTGCTGGACTGTGGGGCTTTGGGATGGACATCCTGGAAGCTGAGACTGGGTCAACTCGTTGCATGGAATGCAGGGGGAGGGATTTCAGGGAAGGCTGGGGCTCTGGGAACGTTGGGATGCAGGAGGAGGGGGCTTTGGGTGCACTGGGATGTAAATGCAGGGGGATCAGGGAAGATCCTGCTTCTGGGAGGGCCCCCCATCCCTGCTCACTGTGGGAATCCCAGGACCCCCAACCCCGAGCTCAGCTGGGTCCTGGAGCAACCAGGACCCCAGAGCCCCTGGGGGAGCACTGGGGGTCCCGGTTTCCCACCCTCGGGAAGCGATCCGTGAGGAAAGAGGTTCGATTTGGGCATTCCAGACCTCGCTGTGCCCTCCGGGCCGTAGCTTCCCCCCTCCCCCCCCCAAAAAAAAAAAATCCATCAGGGGCGTTCGTGTCGTGTCGCAGCAGAGGGGCCGGGTCTGGCGAGCCCGGGCGGGGACGATTTGATCCCAAAAAATCCCAATCCAGCCCCGCGGAGGCCGTGACTCAGCCGTGCCGGGGGCGGGGGCGGCGGGGGGGCAGAGAGGGGGCTGAGCCTCGCCGAGGGATCCGGGGGGGTCTCCGCCTCGTGTCCCCTGTCCTCAACACCCGCTCCCCGCCATCCGCAGCCTCCGGAGCGGCTCCGTCCCGGGAGCGCCGATCCCGCGGGAGCTCCCCGTGCGCATCCCGGGGGATCCATCGGTCCCCCTCCTCCCTCGTTGGGGACGATCCCCCCTCCCCGCTCCCGCCGAGCCCCCCCGGTATCCGCGTGCCGTGGCTGATCCCTCCCTTCCCGGGGCTGCGCCGATGGACTCTCCCAGCGCTCCGTGTGCGCGGCGGAGGCTGCGGCGGTAGCGCTGGTACCCGGGAGCTGCTGTCGCGACGTGTCGCTGCCTGAGCATCCTCCTCCCTCGCCGTATCCCTTCCCGAGCATCCTTCCTCGCCGGAGCGCCTTCCTCCTCCTCGCCGGCGCCGGGAGGGAGCTGGAGCTGGAGCGGGGCGAGGGCTGAGCCAGGTAAAGGGGGAACAAAACGGGTTTATAACCCCCACATTTCCCCCCACCCCCTCCCCGCGGCGTTAATCGGCCTTCACGGAGCCGCTGACGGATTCGGGGTTCGGCTTCTCCTTCCCACTTGCTGTGGCCATTTTGTCCTGGAAAACCTCCCCTGGAGCCCGGGTCTGCCTTTGGATGTGCGTGTTCGGGGGCTCCTGTCATCCCCCCGTGCCGTCCTGCGGCCGGGGAGCAGCCGGAGGGGGCCGGGAATCCGCCGCAGGGATGGGAGCGGGGTGGGGGGACTGGTGGGTTTTTGGGGAGGGGGTGGCACTGGGGGGAGTCGGGGGGTGACCTTGGACAGGGGCGATTTAAAACTCTCCCCTTGTCGCCATGTTCCTGGCGTTCCGCAGGGAGGCTGGGGGGCTGCGGGGGGGACACACACACACACACACAGACCCCCAGCGTGGGACCCCCGGAGGATTTTGGGGGTGCGTGGCTGCATCGCCCCCCGGCTCCGCTCGGATGCGCGGCAGGAGGAGCCGGATCCGGGTCCCATAACCTTGTCCGGGGCTGGCGGTGACGGCTCCGGCCAACGCCAGGACGGGGTTCTGCCCCCGTGACGGGCATTTTTGGGGGACACCCCCCCCCTTCCTCCTTCCCCGGCTCCCGCGTTTCGGGGCGCTGCGGTCTGTGGGATCTCTGCCTCCCTCGTGGGTACCAAACCCTCGCTCTCCTCCGGCGCTGGCTCTGCCGTCGGTTCGGCCACTCGAGGCTCCCCGGCCCGTGCGACCGCTCCTCCGTCACGGAGCCCGCCGTGACCTTGCTCCCCGGCCCATCCTCTTCCTCACGGCGCCCTCGGCCTCTCCCTGCTCCCCGATTCCTGCCCCCGGCCCCCGACAGCTCCCGCTCCGCGCAGCGCCGGCCCCGCATCGGGAGGCTCCGCAGGGAACCGCCAGCCTGGCCGGACAAAAATGACCTTGGCCGTGGATCGACCCCTTCCAGGGGCCTCGGGGGGCCCGCGGGACCCCCAGGGAGGGGAGCGAGGGGTTCCCCCGGCGGGAGCAGAGGAGCAGGGGGGGATTTGCCATTTTATCCTGTGGAATCACCTGCCCAGCTCCGCTCAGGAATGGGGGGGACCGGGCCTTGCCGCAGCCCCCCCACACACACCCGGGGTTTCCGAAGGGCTAAATTTGGCGTCCCCACGTGCCCTGTCCCCTCGCTCGGGAATGGGGGGACACGGCACCGGCTGCGTCCCTCGCTCGCAGCTCCTTCCCTATGCCCGCAGCTCCTTCCCTGAGCCCGCAGCTCCTTCCCGCCTCGCCGGGGACAAAAATAGCACTGGGGGGGGTCACGGCGGCCCCCGCGGCCGGGGCAGCCGCGTCGGGCTGGGGGGCTGCGGGTCCATCCCTGTCACGAGCCGAGCTGGGCTCTGCACGGCCGGGAAGGGGGGGGAGTCGCTGGGCTGGGAAGGGGACAGGGTAGGAGGACACAGGGAGGTGCCACCCCCAGGTATTTGGGTGCCCCCTCTTCTCCCCCGGGCTGGACCCTGGGGCACTTAGGGTGCCCTCAGTCCCCCCCCATCCCCGGGGCAGCCTCTGCTGCTCCCGCGGCAAATCCTGCCTGGAAGCTTCCGCAGGGAGCGTGGCGCGGCACACGTGGTGCTGGGTCGGAGCCAGGGATGTGGTCGGGTCGTTGTCACCCAAGGGACCCCCCAGGGGATCCTCTGAGGGACCCCAGTCCCAAACCTGCCTCCTTGAGGCCCCCACCTCGGGCACTGGCAGCACTGGGAGGGCTTGGGGACCCCCGTGCCCCCGTGGGGGCTGCTCCCCTCCCTGTCCCTCTGGTGCCGCTCCATCCTGTGGTGCCCAAGGAAATAGGGGGCTCCTTCAGGCCTGCTGATGGCAGTGTTTTTGGGGTGACTCACAGTCCTGGGGGGATTGACTGGGGATACTTGGGGGCAGTGATGCCCCTGATGTCCCCCCAGCTCCCTCTGTCCTTTGGAATGGGCGTGGAAGGGATGGATCCAGGGGATACTGGAGGGGGTCCCAGTGGGCTGTGGGAGCTGGGATACCCCCAGGTGAGGGGAGGGGGCACCTAAGGGGTGGGGGCTGGCACAGAACCAGTGTCCACCAGCCTGTCCCCACCCCAGCTCCTGCTGTGCCACTGCAGGGTGGGGGGGGTGTCCCCAAATCCTCCTGTTTCCATCTGAGACGGGAAAAAGAGGTGGGATGTGGGGCCGTTGCCACTCTTAACACAGCCCCTGGTTGTGTCTGCGCTCCCCAGGTCCGGGCCGGTGTCCGGGGTCCCCCCACGCCCCCTCCCACGGATGGGTAGGGCCGTCACCCACCTCCCCCCATCCCGGGCCTGAGGGCACAGAGACCCCCCCAGCCCAGCCAGCTCCACTCCCACCTCGTGCCCCGTCCCGCCGGCGCCATGGACGAGTCGTTCCGGGACAGGACCGCGTTCATCCGCGGCGCCAAGGACATCGCCAAGGAGGTGAAGAAGCAGGCGGCCAAGAAGGTGAGCCGGGGCATGGACCGCGTGCAGGACGAGTACACCCGGCGCTCCTACTCCCGCTTCGAGGAGGAGGAGGACGACGAGGACTACGCGCCCCAGGACGGCTACTACCGGGGGGGCGAGGGCGCCAACGAGGAGGAGGGGGCGTCCAGCGACGCCACCGAGGGCCACGACGAGGAGGACGAGATCTACGAGGGCGAGTACCAGGGGATCCCCCGGCAAGAGTCGCTGAAGGGGGGGGAGCGCCTGGGGGCCGCCGCGGCCACCGGCGCCTTCGACGACAGCGAGGGGCAGCGGCGGAAGGACCGCGAGGAGCTGGCGCAGCAGTACGAGCTCATCCTGCAGGAGTGCGGCCACGGCCGCTTCCAGTGGACCCTCTACTTCGTCCTGGGCCTGGCCCTGATGGCCGACGGCGTCGAGGTCTTCGTGGTGGGCTTCGTCCTGCCCAGCGCAGAGAAGGACATGTGCCTCTCCGACTCCAACAAGGGCATGCTGGGTGAGC